CCCCTGAGAATCAATTAGTCTCAAGTAACTGATTTTATAGGAGGAGATTTATGTTATGCGACTCATTGTCTGAAAACGACGACAATCCCAATACCTATTCAGAGTGAAGCAAATCAAAATGTTTATATTTCATAAATTTGATATTATTTTTCTTGTTTTTTGAAAACGTTGTATATGTTCCGCGTCTCGGGTACCATGTTTCTCCTACCGAAGCAAAATTAATTCAACTATTTTCTTTTTCGGAGGTTTGTACCATTAGTTCGAGATGTGTCTATGTACAGTTTTCCATTATTTGTAAGCTGTAGCATGGTACCGTCATTGTACTTATTGTTATCTTAAACTTTAAGCTCTTAGATTTTGTGAATAAAAACATTTGAACCTCCAACAAGAGAGAAATAATTTATATTTGATATTGTTCGCTTAAGCAATTCCTTATTAGAATGAAACCCAGAGTGTGCGACTGTGAATGCTACAAACCATGTATATATAGGGTAGAAAATTCATAATTTGGCAACCAAAGTGCAAAAATTTTCAATAACCGCTCCAAACTTGGAAATTGAACACATTTTTCAAAATAAGTATCACACCTGCATATGATAGCATAAATGAAAATCGTGAACTTGATTTCCCCACACGAACAATATGTATATATATTTGTCGTGACATAGTAAAATATGCAAAATCGGGTTGACTTCAATTTGGTTATAATAGACTAAAGTTCGTATGTCGTATGTATACGGCTAACGTATTTATTTTTATTATTGAGACATTCAAGTAGAGGTGGAACATTTTTATAGAGAAATATGATTTAACTTTTTTTGTTTATTTCGCTGCCATATTTATAAAGTACTTGGAGCTCTCTACTGAAATGGTAGGGGTGAAATTTTTGGTTATTATATTTATGTCCACGTTCCACTGAAAAACTATAGCACGACTTTTCATGATTATTAATACTCGTACAAAGTTCAGAGGAGTGTATTTATTGTCTTACAATGGCTAGCAGGTTCCGGTACCTGCAAATTATCAGACATAATCTTCACATCAAATTTCTTTTGGTGTATTTCAAAATAATGAGCGTCGTTTAAGAACAAGACTCATTGTATTAAAATAACTTAATTTCAGTAATGTTTATCAGAACGCCTTCAACAAAACACGTCTCTGTTAGAGTATGCTATCAAATCAAAAGTACCAGGGAACGTTAAACCGACGAAGGGGTCCCCCACGCCATACGAGTCTCTGTTTGGTGGAGTTCAAGTTCCGTGCATTAGGAGTTATTTTACAGCTTAGAATTATAAAATGTCATAATAACAGGCATTTCCAGAATTCTTCATTTCAATACATGTTTTGAACGTCATTACAGTATTTAACGGTCAAGCTGAGATAATAGGTGCACTTTGGAAGCACTATAAAATTGCATGCTGTGATATTCTTGTCTATGTGTTTTTATGTCTCACACCCACAATTGTTCAACTTATTGACATGTCATTGATCTAAACTCTTCAACAAAAATGAAACGAAATTCGTCTGAGCTAGATAAATATTTTGTCAACACTAAACCCTTTGCAAAACAATTTTAACAGTACAACAGTTTTAATAAATTTCAGGGTATGTCGAAATCAAACGTCCTTTCAACCTTTCATATGCACATAAATATACTAAATGTATGTATCGCACGATATCTCTGCTTGGCATTTGAATTATCTGGTTAACAAGCGCATCTGATCTACGCTCAACCAACAAATCCCAGCAGTGATGATGTAATCAGACCAAAGTGACAAATGCATACACATATGTGATAACTGCGAGTAATATGATTAGTCGCCAAGCAAAACATTTAGCAGAAATAATGCTCCCACAGTTTACTTTGTGATGTCCACCTGAATGGGTCGAACAAATGATTGTCCGTCTACTACGAGTAGTTGCAATGCTTTGTGACCTGTTAATTATAAAGTAGTCTTTATGAGCTTTTTTCGATATGTACCATATACACATTGTTTACAATATTGAAAAACAAACAATATAGTGAAGCCTTTGTTTAATTTTAAAGTCGTTCCATATTTTAATTTTGAATCGTTTATATAAACGAAAGACTGAAACAGGACTCCAAATACGGTCACCTACAGTTGGTAATATAAATGTCATTGTTAATATCAATGCAACTTAATATATATTAATTAAAGCTAAGTTATTTTAAACGTAATAAATAAATATACTTCATTGTTGCACATTTTTATGTTTAATTGTGATGCAAATGTTGACAATTCGTACCTATAGAATGTCGTTAGGACACTTCACTGATAAGCGGAAGTAGATGGTACATAAAGTGCAAATATAAAATGTCCACAATTGACATCGTTGGACAAACCTGCATGCCAGCATCGTTGCATTGTTGTTTGAAAATAAATATGATAATATGATCATATGAACGTGAGCGCTTTCTATATTGACCAAATATGCACACCCCTTGGAGTTAAGTAAAACACTCCAACAACCTGTATAAATATGACTGCAAAATTGACGCAAAATGTATTGGTGATTCGGTGAAATTACAACAAACATGAAGTTTATTATCCTCTTTGCTGTCGCTGCCAGTGGAATGGTCAGTGCTGCTGGTATTATCAAGGTATGTTATATTTTATTTCAGGTCCAGAAACCATAGTAAGTACGAATTTCTGTTGACGTTTTACTTTGAGAAAATATCATGAGATTATATATTTACCGTATATATATTATAGAATCTGAAAAAAATGCTGTGTTGTTGAATGTTGCTGATATCACACTGAGTAATATGTGCCTATGTGTAGGTTTAAATATCATCCAATATTGTCGAGCAACTGAATTTATTTCTGGTGTAGCACACTCATTTTATGCGTTTCAGATACTGAGGTATTCTATTTTTCGAAACACATGATATAAATTACAACATGTAACACCTTATTTGAACTCCTCATCACCACAAACAGTTACAATACAACACAACTCACGGTTATCAGTTATGGACATGCAAATATCGAATCTTGTACAATAAATCAATATGTGAATATGTCTACACACATATAAAGCCATGCAAGTCATGGTTTAGAATAAATCTTACAATTGCATTCCAAATTAAACTGTTGATATATGTTCATTTTACACAGAACAAATACGTCAAAAGCATTACAAGGGCCCGTCGTGAAGAACATCCATTGGCTTCCCAACTGTGCATTGATTTTTTTGGGGCAAACTACCCTTATAAGTGTTCCAGTGCAGCGATATGTCTCTATTGCCCTGGCGACATCGGTGATGGTGTATGTCAAGTATGCAATGGGAACAGTCAGTGTCCAAATGGCGAAGACGAAGAGGGGTGTGAAGGTAAGTAGTATTCTAACATGAGACAATGTTTTAATTGTTGACGCAAATATGTTTAGACATTTGCCATTGAAATAGTGAATGCAATGCTACAATAGTGGATAGTGACTTGCTATTAATTATATTCATTAGTTTATGTTACAAAACAAAAGGCCATACATAATGAAATATTTTCAGTGCAATTTGTATTCGACTGGTCTCGGTGCGAATCGAATGATTTCCATGCGTTAAATACAGTAAATACAA